TTATGGCGAATTTATTTTAACAATTTATTTTGATTAATGTAAAAATGTCCAATAAAAATAATAGCCTAATAATAGAACGAATAGTTACTTTGTTACTGCTGATACGTTTCACGTTTGAGAGAAGAACGAACGACAACTCTGTATGTCTAAACATAAACAAATCGGGTTCAACATTTGATTAGCACGGGGTACTGAAGCGATCTTTAGAAATACTACGAGAGACAAAATAGTTCAAGTAGGTAATTATGTTTAAGAACTAATGACAGGTACATAGCTACTGAGGAACTTATCTTTTTAATAATTTTGTATGAAATAGAAGAAAAGAGGTATGTAACTCCTTTTATCAATTGTGTACTTCATTCGCGTAATAATTAATCTAACATATAGACGATTCAGCGTGAAATTATTGTCAACAAACCCACTTGGAGCACAAATGATTTACAATGATTGACTGGAAGTGACAGGCCTTCTCTTCAAAATACATAAGGTAACTCACGCTGTGTGATTAGCCTATCTTTTATTGTCGCCCTTATCTTTGATTGTTTTAACCTGAAAATGTCGCCTCCCTATGCAGGCATGCTTTAGACATGTTAGATATCGCAATATGATAGCTGTTATGGTCGGGTCTTATCGAACGAACTGGTACTCTAATTACCATGATTACATGCATGGGAGAAATTATTTGAGGAATTATCATACCGAGTTTGTGTATACATTTATATATCCTTTCTCATTTAATATTAATACATGTATGTTGAAGGATGGGCCAAAACTGTAAAATCTGGACAGAAATTCAAACGCAAGCATAAGAACTACGTTGTGTTTTGTATAGATGTGTCCCTGCTACGGAGGCAGCTAACAGAAAGGGGATATAATTAAGATTGCATTGTGGATTTGTCTTGTTCCACCTCTAAATGGCAGAAGAAAACTCAACTCAGCACAACCAGAAACACTTTTCTGAAGGTGAGTACATCAATTTATTATATTTCTAGATAAGTGGAAAAAAATTTTCGTAACTTATGATACATATTTTTTTATAGCATAACAAATCATCTTGTTTTGATGGCAAAACTGAACCGAATACTATTTTTGAAAGTATATTTTGACTTTTCTAATTTTTGTTGACTTATTTTCTTTTCATTTTTTTTTTAAATACATGCAAATACATGATTACTTATAATAGTAGGCTTTTGAAAGAGAAAACAAATACAAAAAAGTATTAGAGAAGTCAAATCAGTCAATATTTATCATGTTTAATAATCGCTTACTCGATATCTGACTTTTTCATTACATGTACAGACAATTATGAATTCCATTGGAAATAATTTTTGGTACGAAAATTAGTTATTAAATAAAACACAAATGCACAATACACCCAAAATTACAAAAGGTTGTTTTAATTGGATCTATTTGAAAAACTGCTGTGTACACATGTAGGTTATATAACTAGCGAAAGAGAGGGGACATATGTTGTTGGTCAGGATCGCTAGTCTTATATTGTTGGTTAGTCTTATATTATTTCATTTGTTGGTTGTTTCCAGTATATTTACACTAAACTAAATACTACACAAGTTCACTTTCCGCAGTTTTGAATCTTTTCTTATTTCTATATACCCACTTCACTCTTGAAGTTGGTATAGTGGCATTAATTTCTTTGCATGTCAGATTTCACTGAATGAATGAATGTAGATCAAGGCGATAACGGGTGTTTTACAGCTAGGTGTAGATGAAGACATGCTAATTACCATTTGCATGTTTTAGTTATAATTGATAAGTTTCTGATAAAAATGTGTACCTTGTAAAAAGAAATAATACACATCCGAGTAAACGAGTAACTTTTTTTTAGTATTCGATACTTGGACCTTAGATCGCGTACCCGGTAAAGTTGACTTCCCTAGAAAATATATTAAAATAACCGGTATATCATAAAAGGTTATTTGAAGTCCTTGATTTCATTTATTGAAAGTCAGATACATAATGTGAAATAATTTTTGTTAAATAAACATTGTGAGATATTCTTAATTTTTTTTTTTCAATTATACACTTTGTAGAAAATTCTGCCAAGAGACAGTTGTGAAGGGAATCGTGTAGATAATCTCCAGAAAAGAAATCACCACTGATATTGGGATGTATGTACCAATATTTTAATACAATCATCAAAGACAAATTTTTCCACAGGAATAAAAATAAAACTGTCTGGCATTCAAGGGCCTGCCATGGTAGAAGCTCTCCTGAAAAAATATTCCATTTATTGTGGACATCATGACACAGGGTTCACCTGTCATCAGCATTAAAGACTTGTGTGATTTGTTCTACCTGGGCCATACATGTATTGAATGAAAACTATTCATAGAACCACAAGAACATTGTAAATCTATGTAAGGTCTTCTGTGTATGTTGTATTCCTTATATAATTTACTGTTTTATAACAAGACTTTGTTTCATTGGACAGACCAGGTACTAAAACTTAATACATGTACACATACAAAACCAAAAAACAGTTGTGATATTTATTGTTTTTTATTACTCATTAGTTCTCATTTTTGTGTGAAATTTTATAATTTTCCATTTCTTGTTCCCCAAAACCATATCTTACAAATGTTAGGGTATATTCGGGTAATTCCGGACAGCGGGTAATTCCGGACAGAAATAAAATGCCTCTGTTTTATGTTATCGTCAATGAAAATCGTCTTATTTTCTCTGAATTGTGTGTATCATTTTGGAAAATAAAACCTTTATTCTTTTCTATCATATTCATTTTTAATCAAAGGGAATTCCCGATTATTTAGCATGACGTCAATAAAATGACCTTTGCACTTTCTGTTTTGTTGTTGTTGTCGATTTGCGGGAAAATTCAACTTGCTTACACCAGAGACCAGAGTGAAAAAACTACGAAACAAGTAAGTATTAAATGAAAATATTTTAATAACCGTAATATTTTAGTTCAAAGAAGTTAAACATCGAAAAAATTTATGTTATATTATATTTTTATGTCAAATTTTAACTTAAAATGAAAAAAATAAAATGTCCGGATTTACCCTACCAAAAAAATTAAGTGAGGGTAATTGCGGACATAGTTAAATTGTGTTCTTTTAGCATTTCTATGTGATTTATTTTCATCTGGGCCTACATTAAATCTATAAGATTACGAAATTCTAAACTAGGCCTATTTGAATTAGTTGTTTACATAATATCATACATAATAAATTAATTTCAAGAATGTATTATGCTGTATCAGTGTATGCTACAGAGACTCATGCAGAGTCACGCACTGGGGGAAAAGGGTCGCTGCAGAACTGTAGCTCTCCGAAAAAAAAGATCAGCCTATTGACAGACCGGAGTATGTATTTTTTTTCGTATAGCTACAGTTCAGCTAGGGAAAACGTGTGAGGGGGCTCTTAAACTAAAATTCTCGGGCACAGATAAAGCATTTTAAAAGCTTTCATAATCATCAACTCGTGTGTGCGCAGGTGTGGGTGGGTGATGTCCGTTACAGTTATCTACTACAAAATGTATCTACTAAAAAAAAATGAAATACTGATTATTTAAAAAAAAATAAAACAGGGGCCAAAATGCGAGTTGGGCGAAGAGAAAATCAAATCCATAGTAACATGACGGGACAGTCATAAAGTGGAAGAGCTCAAATATATTTAATACTCTGTTCTGCCCCCCCCCCCCCCCTTTTCCCCTATAAAGCAGCTCTTTTTTAAGAGTGAGTGATGATATAATATTTTTTTTTACAATTTAAACGTACAAAATAAGGTGCCTATAATACGCTGGAAATATTTATTTAAAATTATACTTATGAATTACTCAAATCTACACACCGTGACACGCTTAAACATAATAAATTCTTCCTACATCTTATCCATTTCAGTTCTATACATTTCCGCAGAGATGCCAATTTTAGTCATCCACAACTTATGGGCCGTCGGAATGCACCACTGGGGACCTAAAGAATTGGCAGTGGGGGCAGGGTATAAGCTCCAACATGAAGAAAATAATCCATATGATTGTAATGCGACGGCAATATTAGACGGGCCAAATAAGAAGGCATATTTAAAACGGACAGATGCCAAAATAGTATCGTCTTTGTTTACTATTGTACCAGGGTCAAAATGGTTATTAAAACCTAAAGAGGTCCCAGTAGTACTGAATCAACGTGTTGGTCCACAACAGCGATGTTCGATAGGCTGCAGGATTTCGGACGATTCTGTACTTCAACGAGTTGTCCACGAACTTGATTCTTCAAATATCATTTATGAGATCAAATATTAAAAGTAAATGACTGTGTGATATTATTTAATTAAATAAAATTCCGAGAATTCTTTTTTTTCTTCATTCAATCGAAAACATATAGGGAATGAAGCTTATTCCTTATTATTAAGTGTAGACAATGAGATTTTTTTTTCTTCCGGAAAAGGCTTCAAATTTTACACATTTTCAAAGTTATGTCAAGCGGAGTTATATGTTTTTGACGTATTAAACTCATTGTAACGTACATGTAGGCAAGTTATGTTATACAAAATGGGGAGGGGGGATGCACAAACGTGTCGGTATGCTGGATAACAACTTAAATTTTTCGCTTCCAGCATTCGAGCTCAGGCACCCCCCCCCTACTTTTTTACTAATTCTATAGAAATGTTAGTTGAAAGTATTGTTCCCCCCCCCTGTTAGTGATGTGCGCAAAAATGTAGTAAAAAAGTACAAAAATTGGTCCTGACAGTAGTTGACACCCCCCCCCCCCCCCGAAATAGGATTTTCGACTTAGGGCAATCCCCCCGCCCTTTTTTTTTTGCTTGACAACATTTTCAGGTAAGTTAAATTTTTTTCTTCTTTTCTCCCCCCCCCTCACCACTTTCACGATGTTACGTGCCTGGATCTGAAAATCAATCTGAATTTAACCACAATTTCTCGGCTATTTCAGATGAAAATAAATCACATAGTACTCATTTTACATATCATTCAATAGAACATAAGGTTAAATATTTTTACAGAACATGCCAAAAGCATACAAGCAACGGAAAAGAGAACCTTACAGCTCTGAGAGTATGCAGAATGCAGTGTCCTCTGTAATGAAAGGCACTTACTCCATTAGAAAGGCTGCAGAAATGTTTAATGTAAATAAATCAACCTTCCATGACACGATTAAAAAAAAGTATAAGAACCCTGGTCAACCTGGTAGAAAAACAGCGATCCCACCAGAAGTTGAACAAAAGATAGCAAATGCTTTGAAGGAAGCATCTAAACAGGGCATGGGCATTTCAAGGCGGCAATTATTGCGCCGGGTAGGCAGTTTATGCAAAAAAATGAAAATCGAGGTTGATCAATTTAAGCAACAGACCCCCGGAAAGGACTGGTTTGTTGGTTTTATGAAGCGACATCCAACACTGTCAATTCGCAAACCAGAGAAGTTAGCGACAACAAGAGCAAGGATGACAAATCCGGCGATAGTCTCAAAATATTTCGATGATCTTGGGCAAATTCTGAAAAATCTTGGCTTGTTATCAAAACCTGCGTGCATATGGAATTGCGATGAAACTGGAAAAAGTTTTGAGCACACACCAGTAAAAGTCATTGCGGAAAAGGGATCTAAGGCTGTGGTAGGGAGGACATCATCATGCAGGACAAATATAACGGTCATGGCATGTGTGAATGCTGCTGGGGGTAAGATGTCTCCATTGTTTATTGTCAAAGGCAAGACATCCAGATCCTTGCATGGATTTAACACCCTTGCTGCCCCACAAGGAACACGCTGGCACTACCAAGCTAATGGCTGGATGAATGACGACATTGGCGAAAAATGGTTTGAGGACGTTTTCCTTATGGAGTGTGGCACAGAAAGGCCCCAGCTCCTGATTCTGGATGGCCACTCCTCCCACGAGAGTCTTTCCATCATTGAGTTGGCCATCCAGAATGATATCCACATTCTGAGCCTCCCTCCTCATACTACACATGCCCTTCAGCCTCTTGATCGCTGTGTATTTGGTCCGCTTAACAGCGCCTACAACACTGAATGCTCAAACTTCCTTAACCAGAACCCACTCAACAACATCAACAAATGGTCATTTCCAGGTATTTTGGCCGTTGCCTGGGAAACAGCTGTCTCCAAAACAAATATCCAAGCTGGTTTCCAATCATGTGGCATATTTCCGTTTAATCCATCAGCTGTTGCTCCTGAGCTGTTGAAGCCTTCCATTCCTTCAGATAAGCCCAAACCCCTTCTGTCTTCCGCAGATGAAATATCATCAACCACCACTCTTTCTAAGCATTCTGAGGTATCCTCTGGTCCCCCCTCGGTTTCTGGTCCTTCTGTATCTTCTTCTAGTGGTCCAGTATCTTTCACTATTGTCTCTTCAGGAGTTGGTTCATCCTTATTGCCTACAGTCACCCCATCTACACGACAGGATCTTTCCATTAATGAGGCCCCTTAAATCAATGACAGTCAAGATAGTACAATAAGTCTTGTTTCACATGTTGACAATATGACAACTCCTCCCTTGGCAGATGACCCAGAAATGCTACTTGCATTGATAAATGATGGCCATGTAGAAGTATTTACCCCAGACAAAGAGGGCACAGTTGAAATTCATCAGTCTGGCATTTGGGATTCCGCCATATCAGACATTTTTCTCCCACTTCAGTCTGTTGAACCAAATAAACCAGCTGAGCCTAAACCGAGATCAAAGTCTTCATCTCACAGACTCTTGACCTCGGAAGAAATTCTTCTGGAAAAACAGATGATGTGGCAGAAGAAGGAGAATGCTAACCTGAAAAAACAAAAGAGAAAGGAAAAGCTTGATTTAAAGAAAAAAAAATGAACCCCTTCATACATTTAATCTGATGACAAAAGTTTGATTGACAAATTGTTTATTTATTGTTTCTGTTAAGCATGATATTTATTTCATTGTTGATGACGAGTATTTTATACTTAACAAGGCACCACTACAAGAATGAATACCTTAAGTTTCTGTATTTTTATATGTTGACAACTGAAAACGAGTCACCAGAAAATTACTGTAAACTGGTTAATTTAAATAATTCATACTGTTAACTGGTTAAATAAATAAATACCCTTTCTGGCATGAAGTTCCCAGCTGTAAAATAATTTCAATTTCTCATGTCTCTTTTTAAAGGTGTTGATTATTTAAGGAATGAATTTAATAGCTACCCATTTTATAAACTGGGTTGGGGCAGTTTACGCTTTATAAACAGCGAAGCGGAAAAGGCGTAGAAGTGCTCCAACCCATGCAGTTTATACCGTATAAAATGGGTAGCTATAAAATTCATTGCTTATAATTTAATTTTCATTTATTTTATGTAAGGAAAAAAGATGATTGTTCTAACAAAATGACTTTTAATTTGTACAAAATTTGATTGTCGTCAGGCGGATTGATACGTTTTTGACGGAAGTCATTGTGACGTAGGCAACCCATTTTATACGATATATAAAAGTAATTTTTTTTATCTTATTAATTACAGCGTTACAACCAAAATTAATTTATTAGCAACTTGTTGTAACGTTATTTTTAAAAGGTGTATTCTACTTCTCCCAAGATCGTATGTGTGTGTGTGTATATCCTTACTCTGAGTTTCTGATCAAATTAAAGTATTTTAAAGTTCCTAAATTAACTTACCATTGATGCTTTTCAGTTACGATGATCTTAGCGTTCTTTTTTCCTTTTGTTAATATATGACTTCTTCTCCGCTGTTTACAGCTGTATAACTTGTCATCAATGCGACTGACGCTTTAATTTATATATCCAATGGCTATTCCATTATACCAAGGGGTTGTCAGGTCATTCCATTGATTGATGCAAAAAGGCATTGATTTTTTTTTACCTTTCAACGCGTGCCTCAACAAACAGACTTTCAAGGGACTGTTGCGTTTTTTTTTTTTGTTTAAAGTCATATACGCTATATGAACGCCGAATTTAGGTTGAAACAAAATGATCAACGATTTAAAACACATGAAGTATAATAAAAAATAATACTTTCCACAAAATTGTACTATAGATGTCGTTGTAATAATAAAACAATTAAACAATATCTAGGAATCAAGTATTCAGTCTTTTCATGAATATTGATAAAGGAAGTGCGTAAACAGTAGGCCTATATATAGAAACACATGTCCACGGGAAATCACAGACAACGAGGTATGTGGCATTTTGACAACAATTATTAATGTAAGGTTAATATGCATCATAACAGAGAAGATTGTTGATACTTAAATACATTAAAAGGTAAAGTACCATTAAGTATCCACGTCAAAAGTGAGTAGTATCTCAAACGGTCTACCTTGTTTTCTTTACGCCACGTGTGTTTATCAATCTAAAAGTACGGCGTCACGTGATGGATTTATTTAAAAATAGCTGTTTTTCTTTCCTTGCAGGATAATAAATAATTATAATTTGATAACTTTGTAACGCGTTTAATTTTAATGGTGTAATTTACAGTATTTTCGTAACTTTTCTTGATAAACAAATTGTATCAATTTCCAATCCTATTTTAACTGGCGCAAGTTATAGCGTGTATACTTTTAAACGGAATGAAAATGTTTAAATGAAAGGCCGGTCTCTCTTTCCGGCATCAACTGAAGTTTTATTCAGTATCACTATGGTTAAATTATGATCGCAGTTTCCCGGTAGATGTTTATTAATGTACCTCAGCGATTTTAATGTCAACCAAATATAAAAGCTCGCTTAAAAAAAAAAGAAATTCAGATTAATAGCGATGTCAACTTGTCGAAATGATATTTAAAATTCATAAATACCCCCCCCCCCCTCATCCATCGAAAAAAATCTTACTTTGTACATCTTCTGTCTCATTCTTGGCTTCTTCTTTGATGAATATTCATTCATTGTGTTTAGAATAAAAGAATTTGCAAAAATAGATATTCTGACGCAAAAAATCGAATTATTGGTCTTTTCTGTACTTTTAGCCTAAATTAGTATTTACTATAAAGCCACAGTACACCACATAAATAAACAATGATAAAGTTATACACCAAAAAAATCGTAGAATTTTCATACACATCCATATGTGTGTGTTTGTAAAGGGAAGGGGGGGGGAGTAGTGACATATCAATCAGGATCGGATTATTTATGTTATTCTCATTTGATGGTATATAGTTTTATTCTTTTAAAGAACAGATTATTTATTGTAAAATGCAAACTCCCCTCTCATCAAAAACAAATGGTCGTCCCCATAGATTCTGAAGTCCAAAAGTAACAAACGAGATGTAAGATACTAAGAAATTTAATTTTAAATATTTCTAAATAGAACTGTATTAACAACTGAGATGCTTTATATAATCGTGCTGCGGATCTTTGAAATCTTACAAATAATCTATTTACTTACTGTATGCTATTATTTGGCATTGCACGTTTACGCCGCCATACAAGATTGGCCTGTCCGGATTTACCCGCATTGTGTCCGGATTTACCCCACTCTGCCAATACGTTTTATTTTGCTAATATTTGAATAAGACCTGGGGGAAAACAATCTAAAACATCAATTTATCGAGGATTATGCATGGAATTCACACATCGATTCAAAACTGGGTTACCCATCAATCAGTTTCGCGCTGCTACTCCCACCGAACAACGCTTATGTGAGTTTTGTCCGGAATTACCCGAATTTACCCTATGTATTGCAACTTGCTTTTCAATTTTAACTTGTTATACTTGACAAAAAACAAGAGGTACTGTGAGCAATGAACTGACTAAATGATACCCCCGCCTCCCATATGATTATAATGGAAAAGTCCATGTTTTGCTGTGGCCGGGAAACCCAAAATATTTGTCAGGTCAAAAAGTAAAAGAGGAGGTGCACAATGACAATATGTAATAAAGATTCTGTGAAGGTTTCATTAAATTTCACTCAGTGGTATAAGAGGAATTGCGGATAAGATATGAGGACATATTGTTTATTCTTGTTCCTTGGTTTCAATACTACAATCCATCAAAATATTTATCACCCCCCCCTTTAAAAAGATTATGCTTCAAATATATGTCATTAAAGTTTTGCACATGAGAACCTGCAAACATGCTTCCGCCTATCAGTACTCTCAGTACTTTGATTTTTTTATTAATTTTTGTTTTTCTGAAATTTAAATTTACTGAAAATCTATTTTATCAAATACTTTTACGTTTCAGCACTGTGAAAAAAGATGATTTAAAACTAATTGACAAAGTGCACTTTGTATGCCAAAACTTATTATTAGAAAGATGATAAGAATAAAAGTATTTATTCAAAATTAAGAAAGAAAACAACCATATGAAAGTATTTTTAGTGAGAGATTATGAAGAAGTTAAAACTCGTAGATGACTGATGTATTGCTTTTAACTATAAGATAAAAAGAATAAAAAAAAAAGCAAAAACTATCCAGCTTATCATATGAGAAAGAAGTTCATGCAAAGTCCTCCCGTTTTTCGAATTCTTCATCAGATTAAAATTACAAACGTCCCCAAACAATGACTTCTGCAACAGAGAGGTAGTTGTTCCATCCCTCCACAATCTGTATCTGAACATAACGACCGAATGTGTTGAACGGACAAAACACTGCGATCCGCTCCCCGGATCTGCTGCAAGATCCGGTAAAATGGCCGCATAAATGCATGTCGTGCAAATCATTGCCAACTCGTATATCAACGTCATGAAGTCGTTGAACTAAAAGAAGAATTCAAAAAAAGCGAAAGAATATAGAGTAATACAGTATACTACATGTGTCTAAAGCTACATTTACAGATACAATTGTAAGTGAGAGAAGACCCAAGAAAAACCCTCATCTAATCTACAAAGGTGCTTACAATGCAAATGTCAATGATAAGATATAATGAAACTTACAACAACAGTCTTTCCTACCAAATACTTCTACTTCATGGACTGTGTAGTTTCTGCCAAGATTAATTCTAATCCATGGATTTTTTTCCAGGTCGGTATGGGTGAAATCCGTAAAGACACCGTTTACAGCATTACCTGCCAGTGGGGTACTTCCCCAACTGGGGTCCGTGCTTTGAGAGGCAGACTTTCCATATGCCACATTCTGAAGAACGTTGTGACCAATCGAATATTTGATTTCAGAGTTGAAAGCCAGAAATATAATAAACAGCCGGTAACAATTTATCATTATTGAATTGATCGCGAATATCTCCCTTGTCGTTACACTCTCCCAAATCTAAAGCTTTCGTCACCACCGTTTTGCTGACACTGTTTAACACAAGGAAGACCGTTTTGCTGACACTGTTTAACACAAGGAAGATTCTTATAAATGCGAAGTTCATTTACTTGAAGTCATTAATAATGAGACGAGAGCACTTGAAGCTAACTACATGAAGTTTCAGTTAAAATTGATATTCGTTATTTGGTACATCATGTTCTTTTAACCTTATATCTGTAAGCTGATTTTTTTCTGTTTTGAGCTACATGTATTTTTTGTTTGTACTCTTTTTTATAAATGAATTCACAGTTAGAAATGTCTATGCCTTACACATTGACATTTTTAAAATCTATACTTACCTATTCTACAACTTAAGAAGCTGTAAATTATAAAATCATGGAAACATCTATCATAGGCTCATCATCGAAGATTTCTACTCTAGTAGCGAACAACCATGAGCATCCATACCAGCTCGTTTGACTTGACAATGTGTGCCAACAATAACATGTATTTGCCTCATTGTAACATTGCCTGGTGCATGTGCATTGTGTTGTAGTTGGCTCTTTGAATCAGTAGTTATAATTTTTTAAAGCCTGATAGTGGACACAATGTATTAGATTCTTTGTTTGCTATTTAACTTCCTTCTCCAGATTTTTTCACTTATGGAGACGCCTCCACTTGCCGGTGAAGGACGGCAAATTTATACTCATGCCGGTACTCAGGGCTGTTGAGCAGTGAAGGATCTTTTTCGTGCCAACATCTACTACGACAGGTACCTCGGTTATCTAATTTTTCCTTCCCTTAATTTTTCCCCATGAATACTCTATATATAAACTTATGATTGTCTCTACCATCAGGGAAAATTTCATTAGTATACATTACATATATATCACATCATGTAAATTAGTGAAGTACATTTAGTAGTAGTAGTACATGTATGTTAGTAGTTATTTGGTATCATCATCAGGTCATCATACATAAAACAAATACACAGAATTTTAAAAGACGAAAGTTGATAATAAAGATTTTGTAAATAGATAATTTAAGTAAAAACATTTTTAGAAATAAAATTCAAGGTGACTAGATAGATACCAGGATATCCCATTAAAGCTCGAGATCTTATTTCCAATCGGGTCCTATCTTAAATAACTTTAAAGAATAAATAACAATACAATGTAATGAATGTTCCATCATTAAAGCACTATAATAATTCTGGCACAGTTTGTTTTTAGCATAAACATCTAAATTGAGATTAAGTATGATATCATTGACATTATCAATAAAATAATAAAATATATTTTATAAACTAGTACATATCACTTTCCTCCTCTAAAATGCCTTTTTGTTAGACAAAACACTTGACCTGTTTCTTAAAAGTATTCTTTCCTTTTATACACTTGATAGAGGCTGGTGAAAAATTCCAGTCTTTTATGCCTTTATAGTAAAAAGTGTCTGCTTGACATGTTATCACATGAGGTATAAAAAAATCTTCATTAGTGGATGCTCTGGTGTTGCGTGAAGACACAGCTGATCTTAGAGTAATGTTAATGTTACTTAATGTTTCAAAACTCTGAAAAAGAGAAATACTAGTACCTGCACATCGCCATTACAATGGAACAGTTTCAGTCTGCTTATTTCTGGAAACTATTTGCAATAATACATATATAATACGCTGGTATGAAAATAGCTAGAGAGTGCAAGCTGATATTCTAGAACAGTAAACTGCTGTAAAATTAGAGTCTTATTCTTCCTTTTTTCTTTATTAATTTTACCAACTTATCATCGTACATCACTCCGATTTAGTTTGTACTGAGGGATTGGAGAAGTATTTCCTAATATAACAGGATGTAAACCATGTTTTTAGGGCACATGTATCAAAGTAAGTAGGAAGAATATTGTGATCATTTTCTGCAGCTCTTCTAACTGGTTGGTGACTACAGTTCTCATAGTTCCTATTTATATTAAAAAGAAATCAAAATAGCATTTCTAGTTTTTTCGGGAAAAAACTAAACTCGATTAAAATATATCATAAAAAGCATCAAATATTTTCATAATATTTGACTGTATTGTAAAGCTCTGAACCAACCTCTGTCCACCATAATTCAAAATGGATGAATTGCCGTCATTTTGAACGCGCGTTCCCACTTTAACATCTCTCAAAACATCATCATATATATCTGACAATTCCAAATTTTTATTGATCTATTATTAATGACTTCTAAACAAAACACTCATGTAAGAACTTATTATTAGCCCCAAAAATCCTTTCTTATCTGTTGGGTTCACTTATTCAGAATTCTCATTTGGGTCCAAATCTTTTAACACTTCTCAAGTTCCTCGCTTTGATTCTCTAAGACCTTGAAATAAACTTCTCTAACTTCAAAAATATACATGTATATACATAATTAAAAAAATCGAAAAGTAAACCACTCAGAATTAAGTTTTTGACGATTTTGGGAAATTCATGCGATTGCCATTTTGATTTCATTAGGACCACTGTATTGCTAGACTCAATAATATTTTTTGACGTCGAAACTTCTTTCTTGCCACCTTTTTTTTTTTAATCAGGTCAAGATTATTATGTGAAATTATAACGAATAACGTAAAATATTAGATATGCTTTTACATGTACTAATTGATGTCAGCTGGCGGCATTTAGAATAAAAATAAATATAAAATGATTTTTATTTTCTGTGTTATCTGAATTTCATTGAAACGCATGAAAGAAGTAGTATTTGAGTGCTAATGTAAGCTTAATTAACATATGGAGATAACGAACAGTATTTAAGATCAAAAGCATTCTAGATATAATAAAATCACAATACTCTTTACTTCCGACGTTTACCGACGACATTATAATCCATTGTTATCATGACTTGTCGAGATAGTTATCTTGATTTGACATGATATGCTACTTTTCACAAAAAAGGTATGTGGATGGCATAACTATGCCACCATATTTTAGTTCTGCCAGACCGAGATACCTCTTTCATGACTTGAGTCGTACTTGGATGTCATATTAGGTCGTCTATTGATCAAGCTCCTTATAAAAGGGTATGAAACAAGAAAAGTATAAAACACTTGTATCTTCCTGAGAGAAGTCTATTTTCATAGACGGCCAATTAAAATACTTCTACTCTTAATTATCAATGGAGCTGCTTTGAATGTTTGTGCATCTAGTAATCTAACTAAGTCATTTTGTTTAGTTTCCTTATTTAGTAGAAACAAATGAATTATCGATGTCTCCTAAAAATACCTATAATCGGCATCATTATCAACTTGAAAATGGGTTTCTTTTGATCTTTTTATCTTTTTTGTTGATATTCGTAATTGATATCAACTGACCTTCGGTCATTTTGTACAAATATGAGATTATGATAAATAATGCATAAACTTATAAAGCGTTTGATATAATTAAAATTAGCTGTAAAGCGCTGTAGAAAAAAACTATAAAGAAATAAATCAAATTTAAATATATATGTTATTACAAATTAAAATTTTACAATAAATCTTAAATAAAATTCATACAATTACATACACTCTTCAAAAAACTGGGAGTGTAAGGGCATTTTTTGTTGCTAAAATGTATGCGACAAGTCTAAAAAACTTTTTTAAAAATATCATTGTCTTCAAATTTCTTTAAAAAATGTCCAGGAACTGAATCTGTATTATGTTATAAGGAATGTCGTTTTAAAAAAAAGGCTGCTGCCCAACTGAGCTCCGATTGCAGTGATCTTGCGGACTTGTATTCAATTATGAAACCAACCCTCGAACAATGACATTTTTTAATCGAGAAGACAGTACATAATACTTACAAGATAAAATTTATCTTATAAGGGCAATGTTTGAAAAGAATATAATAAATTCTTATTACCAAATTACAGTTTATCTAAAAATGGTTTATCAGAATTATTTTCTTACGAATAGAATCAATTGAGTGGGCAATGTGAAACGATATGCCAGTGAAAGGGTATATTGCTTTATAAGTGAGAGAAATTGGTGATAGAAAAGTTAAAATCACAAGTTCATCATAATATTTGGTTGTGAGGTTAACATTTTCGTCTTTTTCTAGTAAAATATCCAAATGTTAGACCGATGTTTCATATTATATGATTAAAAGTTTATTGAATGGAAAAACAAGGCTTATGAATGCAAAAAATTATGGCTTATTCATAATACATGTAGTGATGTTGTCAGTATACTTAAAATTCGAGTTGAAAGCCAAAGACAAAATCTTTTTCTTCTCGTTTATAAGTGTTTTTTTTTTATATATTACATGTAAATTCTTCAAAGGAACGCAATAATACTGTAGATGTACTTTTTTCCACGGGGTCATAATTCCGCGAAATCTCAATTTCTGTTTAATCCGCGGGTAGAAAATTACGCGGATTTTCTAGATTGACACTATATGCCTTGCATTTATTTTAAGTACGCTTGGACAAATTTCCGCGGAAAATTTGTGACCGCGTACATAGTGTAAATTAGTACCACGCGGAAAAAAGTACTTCTACAGTAAATAAATCTCCTGACAGCTACGTAATAATTATCAATCACAAATTCGTGCCTTTTTAAAATAACAAGTTTAGACTCATTGATCAAAATATATCTTTTAGCCAAATAATTTTGGAAAAGACTGGCGACAAGGTAAATAAATTTACAATTTCCTTTTTTAAAGCATCTGTCTATAATGTCTAAAACAGGATTTGATTTCTTCGTTGGAAACTGTGGTACATGTTTTTGAAAGTGGAGATGAACAGTTGAAATCTTTAAAATTAATAATTATGGTACATTCTTACTAGCCACATTTTCTAAAAGTTCCTTGAAGTCTTAAGTATCGATCTTATTTACACCACCTTTCGAATACATTGTTATATTCGTGGGCCTTCTCTTTTATTGCATTCAGTTTAATGAGATGTAAAGAAAAAATGGTTTGGTGGAACATTAACTTGGACCGACAATGTATTTTGTATGTAAGGATTTTCTCAATTTTTGGAGTCCAGTAGGGAATGGTAATTTAAAAAGTCATTTGGATAGTTGGAACATTCAGTTTATCTAAAGCTAACATAGTGGTCATTATTTCA